CGCAAATATCCTTGTCGTCTATCCAACTGGAAGATCTTCCTCGCCATCCATACTCCCAAAAGAACTTATTCCACCAAGTGAAAGAGTTTCTCACCCGTTGAGATTACTCATCTGGGCAGGGATAAAACATGGTCAACTTTGTCGGTGGACATCAGTCAAAGGCACCATGAATGGTGGAAAATTCGTATCAGTAATGACGAAAATATTTCCAGAATTTCATAAAAAAGATTGTCTGGAAAAGTTATGGTTTTTCAGGATAACGCTCCGTATCATGTTTCACGAGAGGTAGGTAAATTTATTTAGTTAAAGATTCTGTTTCACTTTTTGTTTGCTTTGAGACTTCAGAAAAGATGCGTGACTCTAAGGTCCAGTTCATGCAACTTCCCCCTAATAGCCCTGATCTCAGTGTGATTGAAAATCTGTTTTCTGTTTTGAAGAGAGAGCTCAATATGCTACCTGTACATTGGACATTGGAGGCAAAAGTGCGATACGTAACGGAGCATAAAATAGGAAATGACCCCTTTAACAAAGTTGGTGGATTCGATACCGGAGAGACTCAAAAAAGTCCTAAGGAACAAAGATAGACCAATCGAATATTAGTGTACACAAACTTTACATCTTAATTATCATCAAAGTTAGTTTGTTGTCAGTAAAAACTTCCATTCCTTTCCATTATCTCTTAACTCATCATGGTCTAGGTCAACCACTACTGAAGAAAAATGGGAGTATCCTCTACATTTTGAACCATTCCATCTGTTGAGTATAACCGAATCAGAATAATCACGTCTATAAAAACTCACCAAGGCTTGTTTATTATTATTTGGAAAACAAATTTACTTCAATATAAATGCTATTGTCTATACGAACCGACAAGTGTTTCACAGGGGCCGGTTACTTCAGTTTCAATTAGCCCTGCATATGAGATTGTCATTTTTATCTGCTTACTATCTCCGGAATTCTTAGGTCAATCCTGATTAAAAACTAATAACCAGGGGACCTACAGATCAAACAACACAACACATTTTCCTGATTTTAATGATGAGCATCGGATCGATTCAGCATTCAAAAGGTCCAATGAATCGGACAACGGTCTCCATCGGACTGTGGTATTCACACACCGCTCCGAGAATCTGTGGGTTAAGCTTTGGATAACCAAGGTTCTGGTTGTATATTCCTTAAAAAAAATCATCCGCTTTCACTGCGGCAAATAATATTCATGTTTCACACAGATCTGAGGCCAGACTGTGTACGCCAAACAAATCCAGATACATAATTGTTTATGAAATCTTCCGTCATTTCATGTGGAGGAACACTGCCAGGTTTTAAGCGAAAGCAAATGAATTTTCTTGGGGAATTTACAATCAGAGCCTTCAGATAACTAAATCCTGACCCGCAAGGCCTGCCGATCGATGTGGGAAAACCGTAATCCATTGGTGGCCGACGTGCATGTTATCAGATCATACGCTCTTTGTAGGGGGTAAAACGTCCAAGGTGCTCGATACACTCTAATGCCCAACAAAGCCGGTGACAACTACGGTAACCACGAAAGTGTATGCTTTTGGTATGCCTCCTCTTGGTTAGTTTGGAAGCAGGGCTTTTGGCCAACTCCCCTAGGTGAACTGCCAATAGTTCACCCATTCTGGTCATAGCTCCGGATGTCGGCTTTCCGTCCTCTCATTTCAGTAGGAAAACATTTGCAACAAGAGAAGGC